CCCCCCCATTGTAATTTCTCCCATGCAGATAGTGTCAGGGGGTACTTAACACACACACAGCCCTCTGTGGGCCCTGGCTCCTGCACGGGGCAGGTTGTACAGTATACTCTCATCCCAGCTGGACCAAACCCACCTCTGTCCTGGCATTCAGTCCCCTCCCAGTGTCCTCGGGGACTCAGAGGCCGTGTGTGTGTGTGTGTGTGTGTGTGTGTGTGTGTGTGTGTGTGTGTCTCTAAGCACCTCCTGCTGTTTGATGAACATGGTTTTTTGAAGTGTCTCTTGAAGTAATAGCAGAAAAAGGTACACACATGGTTGGCAATGCAAAGACTGCAAGCAAGGGCAGGCGGCGGGACAGAGAAAGCCCCTTCCCCTGCCCTCCCCTGCATGGTGGGCCGGGGTAGCCCTCCTCTCTCGAGAGCCACACCTCGCACTGTCAGCACTGAAGCCCAGCGGGTCCACCTCGGTCTCAGCCACAGTGTCTATGGAGCTCAGGGTGTCGGGCAGCCCGGGCTGCTCGCTGTCCATGTCCTCTGTGGCCGGAGCGGCCATGATCTCGTGCCCCTCCATCAGTGCTCGGGACAGCTCCTCTTCGGTCACAGCTGTGGGGTGAAGGGGCCAGAGCTAGAAGTGGGCCCCCCCTGCACTGAGCCACTCACCAGGGCTGCTCATCCCTGTGGCCCTCGGCTCTCGTCAGAAGGGGCTGCAGACCTGTGTGTGTCTCCCCATGGGCCCCACTTAGAGGACGGCATCCCTGCTCCCCGAAGGCTGTACCCTTCCGTGTCCCCAGCCCGGGCACTCACTAGATACATGACTAGCTGCGGGCTCAGATGTCTGCACCTGCGGGAAGCCCCTAGATAAGGCGCAACTTAACTAGAGATGACATGTTTACTCCACTTCACTCGTATGGCTCAATCCCCCGATGACTGTTTACATTGAAGCTGCCTGCCTGGAAGCAAACGGCTGTCACACGTAGGGCTGGCAGGGCCGGAAAACTGCCCTCCCAGGAGGTCCAGTGGGCGACCAAGGAAAAACACTGGAGAGACGCATGGCAAGTCTCCCGGGAACAGGGCGCTCCGGATAGAAATCTGGTGAGGAGCCCTACTCCTGCCGAGCACTAAGTGCAGACAGTGCAGGTGCTGGCACATGAGGGGACAGCTCACCACCTGCACGCCCAGACACCACCCCTTCGAAGCCAGCACGTGGCTCCCTGGGGATGGGGCTGAGGGTTTACAGCAGGAGAGGAAACCCGTGCGGGACAGTGGGCATGTGGGAGCTCTCTGTGGACTTTGTTCAACTTTCTCAAACCCCAAACAACCCTAAAATATCAAGTCTGGGGGGAAAAAGGGAAAGCCCCTCCTCCACTGCCAGGTCTCCCGTGTCCACCTGGGGACCTTCACGCTTGTACCCTGACAGGGGTGGTCAGATGATCAGAACCAACATTCTTAGAAGCAGCCAGCACCTTAGGAAAAGAGGAAGCGGGCAGGGGTAGCTTCCCTCCCTCCCTGCTGTGGGTTTCAGGGATTTCCTGGGTCTCCTAGGTCCCTGAGCTGCCCACAGCAGGGGGCCAGCGCCACACTCACCCTGGTTGTCCAGCTTCTGGAGGCTGGGCAGGTTGCGCAGCACGGTCATGCGGTAGAGGTGGGGGTCCGGCTCGCAGCAGGGGTTCTCAGCCAGCCACAGCACCCGCAGGCGCGGCAGGCCCTTCAGGTAGAAGAGCTCAGCCAGGCTGGGGATGCGGTTCTTGCGCAGGTAGAGCTCGCTCAGGTGATGGCAGCGGCGCATGGGCTCCAGGGTGGAGACACCGTTGACGCTGCGGGGACAGTGTGTTTAGTGCCAGCCAGGCACGGCCCCCGGGGCGGCCTGGCACCTCCGGTTTCACTGCAAACTGAGGCCGGGGAGCAGCACTGGAGAAGGGGGCCGGGGTGGGGCAGTGCTGTCCTGTCAAAGTCCAGGGGCCTTGAGCCGAGGAGGGCCTGGGGGATGGGAAGGCAGGAGGCTCTTTGCGCCCCGGCTCTGGGAGATCTGCCTTTGGGCAGCCCCGGGGCTTCACTCAGGGGGGACACTCGCCCTCCTCGCAGGGAGGAGGCCAGCGCCCCCACAGGGGCAGGCACACCACTGCCCCTCAGACGGGCCAGAAACCCGCTCGTCCAAGGACGTCAGGGAGAGTTCAGGGGTAAAGAGGCCCGGGCACTGAGCTTCAGAAAGCCCCAGTGTCAATGGGACTCACAGAACCTGTGCAAAAGTCAAAGGACCGGAAACACACAAGCACCCAGGGAGAGTGGCCAAGGTCGGCCCTGGCACCAGTAGGTGGGGGGTGAGGCTGGGGGGCCAGCTCCATGTCCACACGCCAAGGACCCACAGCTGGAGCCCGGCAGGCCCCGGACTCCCGGGCAGGTGTGTTCTTTGTGGACCAGGCTGGGCCGCCCCATCCTGGGGAGCACTGCCCGAAGGCTTCACCTGCTGGGTCCCCGTTTCCTCCTCAAGGGGTGCTGCTGCCCCCAGCCCCCCACCTCGAGGCAGAAAGCAAGGTTCGAGTTATGTGCCGGACATGGACCAGGACCCTGTCTCTCCAGAACAGGCTTTCCTGAGGGCCACTTTTGGGTTTGGCGTGCAGGTGGGAGGCTGCGACCCTCCCTCCGGGAGACCTCCACCAAATGACCACGCCCCGCTGAAGTAGTTTCTGGGAGAGGGGTGGGGCGGGGTGCGACTGCCGGGCTTGGGTCGTCCAGCATCAGGTTTGAGGCGGGTGAAGCCCTGCTACGTTTCCGCCAACCTTGGGTCCCCAGGACTCTGTGCCCAACAGGCCTGTGACCTCCCTGCTTCCCACGTGCCCTTTCTGTGCCCACAGCCTGAAGCTCTGTGAGTCTGAAGAGGGCCTGGCCTGCATTAGATGTGTGGGCTTGAGTTGGACTGAGCTGGGCACCTTCTTGATGTACAGCTCTTGCTTGATATTAACTTCTTTCTTGTACACAGATGTGGCTCTAGACACCAAGCCTAACACACCCTGCAAAGGGCTGTGCAGGAGGTGACTGCCCTCAGTGGCAGACACCAGGATGGGGCAAAGCTGGCAGAGCTCCCCCCTCTGGCTGAGTGGAACTCCGATGCCGTGCCCATGCGGGCAGACCCAGCTGCCGTGAGGACCATGGCAGACCAAGGTCATGGGGAGGCCTCTAGAAAGGGGCACTGGCGCCATGTGGAGCTGCAGGAGCAGCTGTAGGGCTCTCTGCTGGCTGCCTGGCTCCCTGTAGGCAGGAACCTCCAGGACGTTTATCACAGTGCACTGTCCACTTTCATATGACAGACTTCGGTGAGATGGACATTGAATACCTGAGGGTGATCACTTCCAGGCTGGGCATCTCGCGGCATATGGAGATCTAAGGCAGAAAAGGGAGACAGTGATTGGGTGCTTGGCCAGCATCTCCCATGCCCACATTGACAGCATTTCATTCCATGAGCCCCATACAGGAAGCTGGACCTTCGTGCCTGCAGCCCACTCTTTTTGGGGGCATTCGGGGCCTCCCACAAAACAGCCCTCACTCATCAGGCTCTGCATTACTCTGGCTGAAGCAGAAACGGTGGGTGCAGCCTATGGGAATCCCACCATCATCAGTTAGTGCTGGCTGGGCTGAGAGAGCATTCGGAATACAAAGAATGTTTTTTTTGCTGCCCAAAGGCACAGGGGAAGGGATGAGCTTCTTCCTGCTGACACAGCCAGCCCAAATAGCAGGCAGACTTGACTCTCGGAACATGTTGGTAATGGTAACTGCAGCAAAGGCAGCCAGGTTCTTGGCTGAGTCCACAGAGCCCATATCACCAGGACAGTCGCTGACAGCCATTTGCCAAACATCTGAGCACCTGTCATGTGCCAAGTGCCGGGAGCTGGGCAGGGTCCTGACCTCCCGCTCATGGTCTGGTTAAAGTACTTCCCATCTGCAGACTTATTTCCAATGATTGTGGTGCTCTTTTCGACCTCTGTTTGTTCTAAGTAGGGAGTATTTTGGAGCCCTGGTGGTACAGTGATTTAAGCATTTGGCTGCTAACCACAAACTTGGTAGTTCAAACCCACCAGCTGCTCTGAAGGTGAAAGATGAGGCTGTCTGTTCTCATAAAGACTAACAGTCAGAGACCCTAAAGAGCAGTTCTACTCTGTCGTACGGGGTTGCTATGGGCAGTGGGAGCCCTGGTGGCATAGTGGTTAGGAATTGAGCTCCTGATGGCTCAAAACCATCCGCTGCTGTGTGGGAGAAAGATGGGGCTTTCTACTCCCGGAGAGCGGTACAGTCTCGGAAACTCACAGGGGCAGTTCTACCCTACTCCATAAGGTCGCCAGGAACCAGCATCACCTCAATGGCAGCGAGTTATGTGGCTGTTCTCTTAGGGGGGGTTTCAGGGACAGCAGAGTGTGCAGCAGGTCTTTCTGGACCAACCCAGTGCGCCAACGTTTTCCAGTTACCAAGCAAAAATGTCGATAGAGAAATCAATGATGGACACACCTCTCTATGTGAGCTGTAACACTCATTCTAGGACAGTGACATTTATCTGTAAATATTTAATTTACAGGACTTCTAAATAAATATGGATTCCATAGACTAGTGTGGGTTTTTTTTACTACAAACCACTCCGTGAATACAGGACCAACTTGGGGCCGAGGCCTGGCCTGTGGCTTTGTTGAGTGTGCTTGGGGAAGAGGCCCAATGGAAGACCAACAGTATAATACTTACATCTGTGAGGTGGCTGCCCCTGGGGAAAGAAAAGAGACACACACTTTAATTTTGTTGAACATAAACGTAATGAAAAACACACCCAACTCCCCAAATGAATAAAAAATGCCTATCAACTGTAGGAGTCTTAGGATTTTTGTGAAGTAGCGAAAGAAAGAAGGAAGAGACAACGGCTATGTGTTACTCTGTGCCGATCTGGAAGCTACTTGTTGAACAACGTGCTTTTTCAAATCGCAGCGCCAGAGACGTGTGATGATACCCTGGCAGCTTAGCAGTTTGAACTGACCGGCTGCTCCACGAAGAAAGATGAGACGACGTCCTGCTCCTGTGGAGACTTACAGCCTTGGAGACCCACTTTGTCCTCGAGGGTCACTGTGAGTGGAAATCAACTTGACGGGAGTCAGTTGGGCTGTGTCTGATTTCTAAAACTTGCCCTGTGGATGTTGAAATCTAAAATGCCATTCCATTAGACTCGGCTATTCCATGCCTGTTTATCATGAGCGTAAGAAGCTGGTGGGTTTTTTTTAAGAGACCAGGTTATGGTAGAGTTCACCAACCATTGTTACACCTTACCCCAAAGCTTATACTACATGATACACTCAATTGTATTTCTTTTTGGTGCAGAAGAAAAGTTTGGGGACAGAAACCTATTTATGGAGACCTTGGGGCTCTGAGTTTCTTTCCCCCATCTCCCTCCACATGCTGCGAAGGGAGGGCTCCTAGCAATCTTCTCTTACAGATGTTTAACAGTGCAGCTGCAGGCCTAAGTACCCTGCTCAAGGCAACACATCTCGTCAGAGGTAGAACCAAGATTTATGATCAAATTTGTCTCATACCAAAAGTCTGTTCTTTGATCAGCCCTGGTAGCATAGATGTTATGCCCTGGGCTGCTGACCACAAGGTTAGCAGTTCAAAATGACCAGCCGCTGTGGGAGAACGATGAGGCTTTCTACTCCAAGTCTGTTCATTGCCATTTGCCACGGGCACAGTCCAATCTCTGAACATCAAACCAATGCTCATGGTGAGCTGAGTCTGACTCATGCAACCCTGTACAGCAGAACGGGGCAGGCTGTGGGGTTTCCAAGGTGCCTCCTTACAGAAGCAGACTGCCACTGCTTTCTCCTGCAGAGCAGTTGGCAGGTTCAAACTGCCAGCCTTTCAGTTAGCAGCCAAACACTTAACCAGTGGGGCTCCTTCTCCAGGAAGACAATGAAGGGTGGTGAGGATAGTTTTACATGTGGCGGAGGGGAACTGATGCCAGGGAGCGTGGGATAAAGGAATAGGATAGATGTGCTGCTTTGGGGGTTGTTCCTATCCTACCTTCTCATCCTTTGCTGATTCAGGGAAGGTTGGATGAAACCTTGGCCCTTTACCTGATTGCTTAAAACACACACACACACATACACACACAGAGTCCTGGTAGCACTGTGGGTTAGGCATTGAACTGCTAACCATCAGATTGGTAGTTCAAACCCACCAGTTGCTCCAAGGAAGAGAGATGAGGCTGCCTGCTCCTGTAAAAATTTCCTCTTCGAAACCCTCCATACAGAGTTACTATGAGTTAGAATCAACTCCATGGCAGAGGGTGTTGATTAGACATACGTCCACACATAGGGACCCTTGGTAACGCAGTGTGTTAAGCACTGCGCTCCTAAGCATAAGTATGGTCATGGTTAAACCTCTTGGTTGCTCCTCCGGAGAAAGGGGAGCCTTTCTGTTCCTATAAAACATAGAGTCTCAGAAACTCTATAGAGCAGTTCTACACTGCTCTCTATAGGGCCACTGTGAGTTGATTCAATGGCAGTGGGTTTGTTTTCCTTTACACACACACACAAAGTATGCATAAAGGAGATAACGTGGGTTGACTGTATTTCTCCCATCTTCAGGAGACAAAATTAGAGCCCCTGGGGGCATAGATGGTGGCTAATTACTAGTTGGCAGTTGGCACCCTACTAGAGGTGACTGAAAATACATAGGCCTGGCTAGATGTTGTCAAAAGGGCTGGGATGAACCGGAAGGCACGGAACAAACACTACCGCCCAGATGACTGGCAACCCAGGACACTGAGTGGCCCCAAATCGTTTCTTGGTTGGTTTTCTACAAAACTTGATTGATAGAGGCCTGGGGTACTTTTCAGACCAAGGGGCACGATTGGTGGCTCTTCTTTGGAGGACAGGTGACATTTACTAATTCTTGGAGTGACCACAGGACAGAAGGCTGATTTCTTCTCTGATGGAAAACAAAGGAATCTTTCTGGGAGGCCGATTCAAAGGCCAAACATGGAACTTATGAAACAAGCCTTGGAAAGCCTGAAACAAGGACCCTGTTTCCCTGCTCTGAGAGACCAGAAATCTGACTTGAATGCTTCTGAAACAAAGCAATGCATTATTGAATGCAAATGGCACAAAGAAACATTTGGGCAAGACAGCTGCTATGCCAGGGTGGACAGAAGGCTCTCTAACTGAATACACACTGGTGCTCAGAACGCTGACCACTTGCTTCTTCCCTGGAGGGAGTGTTGGGAAGGGCCTCTCTCTACCTGAGCTGACGGTCCAGCTTAGCCGCACACACTGAGCAGGGCTCTGTGTCCCCAGTGGCCACCGGTGGACCTCTCAGCCCTCAGCTCTGGGTCACCTCTTCTGCTAAGTGCTCCTGGTCCTCAGCTTCCACCAGACTGGTATGCTCTGCCATCACCTTGCCCTCAAACACACAGCTAAGCACTCCCCCAAGCATTTAACTGCACGCCTATATGCTTCTTGTTATTGTCAAATGCTGCAGTCAGCCTTCTCCTGCGAACACAGCTCATCATCACCTTGTCCGCGCTCACATCATCATCGTTTCTGAGTAGCGGTTCTCTTTCCTCCTAGAAGTGGTCAATCAGTTCGAAGCGCCCCAACCTTAGTACTGCCAACGAGTGTTGGCAATTCCATCTTTCAGACCCACCCAGAGGGAAACACCTGTCCCCAGTAAAGCCATGTAAAGGTCAGACAACGAGTCTTAGGGGAAATCCTAGCAGTTCTTAGGAAAAGCAGCATCTCTCGGTCTGGGTCCCAAACACCACCCCTCAGAAGGGAATGAATGTCCGGGGGCGCCCTTTGCCAATGGCCACCTGGGCATGAATGAGCAGCACCTCCCGGAGGCCCTGGGCCAGCAGACCGCGGGGGCACTCCAGGGCGGCGGCTCCGAGGCTCTGCCATTGCTGCCCGGACCCAGGTTGCGCCGATCCATCCCTTCGCGCTCCGGCTCCGCGGGCCACAACCTCCGGCCCCGGCGGAGATGCCGGTGGGAGGACCGCAGGGCGGCCCCAGGCCCTCACCAGCAGTTGAGTTTTCGCACACTGTCCAGCTCCGAGGCTTTGGCCCGGGACAGCACCATCTTCCGTGTCAGCTTCATGGCGGTCGCACGAGCGAGCGGGACCCCAAGCTCCGCTAGCCAGGTCCCGCTGGGCTCCTTCGCCCGCTCGCTCCACCTCGGGTTCCGGCCTGGCGACGCGCGTTTCCAGGGGCGGGGCGCGTCGTCAGGGGCGGGTCCTGAGAGCCGATTGGCTGCCAGGCGTAGGGGCGGTGTGGTGCGAAGCGACGCGGAAGAGCCTCGCTCTTAGCCCCACCCCTTCCGTCCCTGTCCCCAGTCCTGCGCCTGCGCGGAGTCTGCCTTTCGCGTTCGGGCCAGAAGAGGGTAATGGCTAGTTGGCCTCTTGCTGCCACCTGCAGGGGTTGGGTTGTCCTTGTCGCTCTGGCTTGTAATTGGGCCGCCGTTGGGTGGGTTTTTCCTTATAGAGAATTCCTGTACAGCGGAAGGGACCACTACTTGGTCCTTCACCTTTCTGACCATCGTTGTTAAGCTAGAGCTGGTTGTTGCAGCCACTGTGTCAATCCAGTTCCTTATTTTTCTTTGACCATCCGTTTTACTAAGAATGATGCCCTTCTCCAGGGACAGGTCCCTCCTGATAACATGTCTAAAAAGTAAACCAAACAAAAAATCACTGCCATGGCGTTGAACCCGACTCTGAGCGATCCTATAGGACAGGGTAGAACTGCCCTCTTTGGGTTTCTGCGACTTTAAACCGTTACAGAAGTCGACAGTCTTGCTTTCTGCCACGGGCCCCTGATGGGCTCCGCACAGCCTACTCGTAACCCATTTTGCCACCAGAGCTGCAAGACAAAGTCTTACCAAGCTCTTTGCTAAGAAGCATTCTGGTTGTACTTATTTCCAGACAGATTTGGGTGTTCTCCGGGCACTCGAGGTGTATTTAATGTTCTTTTCCAACACCATCATTAAAGTGCATCCGTTCTTGGGTGTTTCTTATTCATGGTCCAGCTTCACATACCGAACAAGTATTACTCCCCAAAGTGGCATCTTTGCTTTTTAATACTTGCACGTTCCTTTGTAGCAGGTTTACCCACTGCAGAAAGTTGTTTGGTATCTTAAATGCTGCTTCCTTGGTTGCCCAGTGTGAATCCAAATAAAATGAAATCTTTATGATGTTGCTTGTTGGTCCAGAGTAATTTTTGCTTTCTTTATTTTGGTGCTCATAACACATTATAGATGATATTGTGAAGAGTGGAGATCCAGAAAAATGTAACTGTGCTCCTGTGCAGCCTGTACACAAAGAGGGAGTCATTTAAAAAGAACAAGGGGTTACTGTGTGGTTTAAGAGCAGCCAAACTGGGCATCAGGGCTGTATTTCTTCACCAGACTTACTCAGTCTGAGCAAAATACATGAAGAATGTGGCATCAGGATTGGAGGAAGATTTGACCACAACCTGCAACATGCTTGCTGTGTGAGGCTGTGCTCTTTAGAGAAGCAAAACTAGTGATGTTTATCTGTGTATGTATACAGAAAGAAATTTATGTAAAGAAATGGTCTACATAGTTGTAGCCCATGCATATTGCTGAGCCCATGTGTGTATCCACACACGCATAAACATCATTGGTTTTGCTCTTCTAGAGAGCACAGGAAGCAATGCTGAGTCATCTGCATATTGCAGGCTATAATGAAGTCTTCTTCCAAGCCTGCTGCCACATTCTTCATATATTTGCTTGGCTTCCAGATTGACTGAGTATAGTGAAAAAATACAACCCAGCTGTGTTAGCCCGAGTTCTCTAGAGAAGCAAAACCAGGCGCGTGCGTGCGCACGCACACACGAAAAATGGCTCACGCAGTTGTAGAAGAGGTTAAGTCCAGTTTGGCTCAAATCTTTGCATCAGATATTAAGCGGGAAGCTTTTCTTGACTTGTGTGGCTGCCTGGGGCTGGGTTGCCAGGAAGCTGGAAGATTACAGGCCAGTGGAGGCAGAACCAAATTAGCAGATCAGATGTGAAAGAAGAGTTCTGATATCTTCCTAGATTGGCAGACAATGGGGCGGGTGGGGTGTGGGGTGTGTTGTATGGCCCAAATGCACTGAGCCCGAGGTGGGTGTGACAGATACAGGAGCCATACCAGCAAGAAGAGAGAGTTCTTTGTTGAGTCTCATTTTACAACTATTAAATAGGCCATACTTCTGAGGAGATGTTATCAGGCTGATGGCAACAAATGTACAAATGTGCTTGACACATAATGGATGTATGTATGGATTGTGATAAGAGTTGTACAAGCCCCCAATAAAATGATTTTTTTTAAGAAAAGAAAGAGCTTTATATAAAAGCAGTTGTACATTAAGAAAACATCCCAGCCCAGTTCAGATCAAGTTTCTAAGTCTGATATTACCCATAGGTCTGATACCAGTCTATAAATCCCTCTTCAGACGCATGCAGCCATGCAATTATGCCAAATGCAGGAAGATCACAAGCCAGTGGGTGGAAAGTCTTGTGGGTCCAGTGGCAGTGGAAGCATCTCAGCACTGGTGTGGGTCTCCACGTGGCTCCCCCAGCTCCAGGGCTCTGGCTCTATCAGCATACCTCCACATAGCTTGTGAACAGGTATGTCTCACAGGGAGTGAGTGTGTATCTGGCCTCCAGTGAGCTATTTGTCTCCATTTGTGCCTCCCAAATGAGGTCATCAAGCTGTGACCCGATTGACAGGCTAGACTCCATCCCTCCACAAGTTGACAGGAGATTATGTAACTGCCACATTTATCCTGTTCTGTAGAGTTACTATGAGCAAGCATCAACTCAATGGCATTGAGCTTGGAAGGTTTATATTTTGCCTAGTGAGTAGGGCATCCATAATAGTAACACTATTCGTCACCTTTATACTTCTGTGTGAAACTCATTGCAACCACTTTATTTTTAAATCCTAAGTAAGAGCCGTCCTCGTTAATGAGTTACTTCTGGGATGCAGACGGTCTGTTGACTCCAGGAGAGATAAAGGAATGAAAAGATGTTCCCCTGGCATGACACCTACTTCTCTTGCAGTCAGCAGCCCCGCCGAGGCCAAGAAATTATGGATTGAAGGCCAAATCTGGCCTGCCATGTTTGTAAATAAATTTAATTGGGATGCAACTAAGCTCATTTGTGTACCTGGTATTTGTGGTTGCTGTGTGCTGCACAGATCATCTAGCCCGTGAAGTCTAAACCCCCCAAAGAAACTCACTGCCATCAAGTTGATTCTGACTCATGGGGACCCTCTAGGTCACGGTAGCACCGCCCTGTGGGTCTCTGAGACTGTAGCTCTATGAGAGTAGAGGGCCCTGTCTCTCTTCCTCGGTGTACCTGGTGGTGTTGATGGCTGGCTTTGTGGACTGCAGCCTAATGTGGCACCGCCACAGCACCAGAGCTCAGCTGTTTATTAAACCAGCTGTTCAGTTAACTTCAACTCAGGGCAACCCCAGGTGTGTCAGAATAAACTGTGCTCCCCAGGGTTTTAATGGCTGATTTTTCAGAAGTAGATTTTCAGGCCTGTCTCCTTAGGGATTTCTGGGTGGGCTTAAACTGCCAACTTTTTGGTTAGGTGCCAAACATTTAACTGTTTGAATCACTCAAGGACTACAAAATTTTGACTACCTGACTGTAATGGCTAATGTTAGGTGACAACTTGGCTAGGCTGATTCTCAGTGACTTGGCAGACACTGGACTGGGTGCTCTTCCATAATGTAATGTAACTATCTTCTATCATGCGGCCTGATGTAATCAGTCAAGAGGGGAGTTTTCTTGGGGGTGTGGGCTGTCTCTAGTATATAAGTGGATGCTTTGGCAAAGTGTACTCTCTTTCCCTCTCAACCCTGTAATTTTCCCATCCCTTCACCTCTAGATCTTGGAACATAAGTCTCTCAAACAGTGGTTCTCAACTTGTGGGTCATGACTCCTTTGGGGGGTCAAACTACTCTTTCACAGGGGTTGCCCGATTCATAACAGTAGCAAAATGACAGTGATGAAGTAGCAATGAAAATAATTTTATGGTTGGGGGTCTCCACCACATGAGGAACTGTGTTAAAGGGTCATGGCATTAGGAAGGTTGAAAACCACTGCTCTAGAAGTCTCTGGCCTTCCCATTGACCTGCTGATTTTCAAATTTTGGATTCATCAGCCCCAGAAACTATGGGCCAGTCTGCTGTGTGACCTATGGATTCGGGTCTTGACTCACACAATTGTAATGGCAGGCAAGTCCAAGTCCAGGCAGGTTCGAAGTCTGTGGATCAGATGTTAGGCTGGGGGCATCTCCTGACTTGAGTAGTTGTAGGGGCTGAAGAACCCAAGATGAACAGATTGGTGGCTGCAGAGGCAAATGAATCCAGGGCCATCAGTTTAGATGGCAGGCCGCTGATGGCTCCCAAATTGGCATGCACTATAGCATGCCGTTGGCTCACATTCAAAGAACTGGAGGTCAATGAGCCAGAGGCAGGATCCAGACCTAGAAAAAAACAAGCAATTGCTAGTGTTCACTTATATCAAGAAAGGCCAGTACCTGAAAAAAAGGACATCATGCTTGGCAGAGGGTCAATAAAACAAGGGGAAGACCCTCAAGGAGGTGAATTGATACACAGTGGGCTCAAACAATGATTGGGAAGATGGTGTAGGCCTGGATCATATTTTGGTCTGTGGTACATAAACTCACTGCCCTTGATTCGTCGTGACCCTGGTGGGCTTGCTAGACTGTCACTGTTTATGGGAGTCGAAAGCCCAGTCTTTCTCCTCGGTGGCACATCGGGTCACTATAAGTTGACAAACTCAAGGGCACCTAACAGCACCAAAGAAAACTCAGACTGAGACATTGGCCCTTTGTAGAAACAATTTTCCAGCTCCAGTTTAGAGTCTACTATCGCTGACTTCTGGCCCCACAGCTCCCTCCTCTGTCCTCTCGCATCTCTGAGGGCCCAGCGGCATGATCACTTTGCTCTGTATATGATTCATGACCAGAGAGTGCAATGCCAAGCAGTCAGATTCCTACCCTTCCTCCCATCAGGTTTTTTTTCCCTTGCTGCCAGAGCAGGGAGATTTTTCTCCTGGGCACAGTGCCCATGCACAAACCCTTCTGCTTAGTGCTTTCTTTGCTAGACTTGAAACCACTCTTGACCACAATCAGTACTGGCTATGTTCATGTTTTATGGCTGGGTGCCTCTTTATTTATTTTTTTTATTTTTTTTCTGGGGCTGTAATTTTTTAAATCATTTTATTGGGAGCTCTTACAGATATAATAATCCATAATCCAATTAGATCAAGCATAATTGTACAATTGCTGCCACCCTCAGTTTCTTTCTTTTTTTTTTTTCGTTCAACTCACTTTTTTTTTTTTTTTTGGATTTTTTTTTTTTTTTTAACATTTTATTAGGGGCTCATACAACTGTTATCCCAATCCATACACACATCAATTGTGTAAAGCACATTTGTACTTCATTCTCAAAACATTTTCTCTGCACTTAAACCCCGGACCTTAGGTCCTCATTTTTCCCCTCCCTCCCCACTCCCCCCTCCCTCATGAGTCCTTGATAATTTATAAATTGTTATTTTGTCATATCTTGCCCTGTCTGACGTCTCCCCTCACCCCCCTTTTCTGTTGTTCGTCCCCCAGGGAGGAGGTCACATACAGTCCCTTGTCATTGGTTCCCGCCTCTTTATTTGTATGGGGAGGACATTTTGTAATTGCAATTGCGATAGTGCCCTACAGATGGGATATGGCCTTCTTGAGAAACGTGCCTTACTCCTCTGGAAAGGAAGAGGCCACCCTGGGGCCATCGGGGGTGGTGGGTGGAACAGAGGTTTCATCAGTGACCCCGAGCTAAAGCCTGCTAATCCACGATTTCGCCTGAAGTTATGTTCCCTGGGAGGCCTTGGGCTGCTTCAATCAAAAGCCCAGTCCATCTGTGCCTCTGGCTGGACCACTCCTCTGCTGTTATCACTGGGAATGAAATCCAAAGGGGACTTCAGAAAGTTCATGGAAAATATTCATTACCTTTCAATTCCGTTTGCCCCGGAACTTTTGGAAGCCTCCAGTTACTAATTGGCCTGCACATGTTTTCAGTCAAGGAGAGAGTTTTTGGGCTGGAGGGATCCCCTGAGAAGCGACACTGGACTTGGGGGCTGGACGTAGTCCAGGATAACCAGTTCTCAATGTGAGTATCCAAGCTGACCCTCAGTAGACACTCACAGAGCACTTGCAGTCACCAGGCGGTGAGGTGCAGCAGTGGGTAGGGTGGCCAGTCTGTGCCCCCTTGGAGTCTGCAGCCTTGCAGGGAGGGAGCCACTGCACAATAGTCACTGCTGCTTCCACGATAACCACACGCACATGGGCTTCTTCAAATCCTCGGAGGACAGGATGCTCAGCTCTATTCATGTGCACGTACGCACTTGAAGACGACCTCGTGTACAGGTACCTGGGCTCTGATGGGTTCTCACGCCCTTCCCACAGCTGCTTAGAAAATTCTGGAAGGTGAGATAGGGTGCATCCACTAGCTTGCAGCACCCCTCGCACTGCCTGCTGATTCCTTGGTTCAGAGAGAGAGAGAGAGAGGGAGAGGGAGAGGGAGAAGGAGAGGGAGAGGGAGAGGGAGAAGGATGGGAGGGGAGAGCAGGGGAGAGGAGGGGAGAGGAGAGCAGAGCAAGGAGAGAGGAGAGATGGGCAAAGGAGAAGGTGGTCCAGAAGCAGCCCTTGGCTAGGAGTCTGGATCACAGGTCAGGGCCCAGGGCAGAGTTGCTCCCCACAGTTGGTGGGGTGGTGGTCAGCCAAGGGCCAGCGGAGGCATGGAGAGGCAGCAGGAACTCTCCCGAGGGCTCTGACTCTTCTCTGTGGGGGAGAACGGTGTGGGGGTGTAGGGGACAGGGCTCTTGCACGCAGGGCCAGCAGGGTCGGGTTCAGGCCTTCGCACGGGGTCCAGTGGGGGCAAGGTGGGTTGGGTCTTCCTGACTCCACGGCTCGTCCTGGTTCTCCCCAGTGGGGGGAGATCCTGAGTCTGTTCTGCAGTCAGCCTTGGGTCCTGTCCCCTTGGGTCCCACGTGGTCCGGGGTGGGGAGGCTGGGCTGAGGGCTGCAGCCTGTGGTGAGGGGGGCGGAGGGTCCTGAGTCGAAGGGAGTGGCTTGTCCAGGTCCCTGGTCTCTCCAGGTCTGCCAGCCAGTCCCTGCCTGAGCACCCGAAGGAATCCCACCCAGCCACTGAGACTAGTAAGTGCACCAAGTCATTGTCACGGAACCCCTTCTGCACTGGGGTCCTGGGCTGTCTGCTTTCGCAGCGCAGTGCCGAGCAGGACGCCGCGCTGGCTGCGCTCCCTCGGGCGGGGTGACGCAGCGCGCGGGTTCGCGGAGCGCCGGACGCGGGCTGCGGCAGAAGGACCGCCGCCGGCTCCCCCAGCGGGCCAGGACAGCCCGTCTGCTGAGCGCGGCCCGAGC